TGGTTGTTAAGTCTCCCATGAGGTTACGACGGCTTTGTTGTAAAGTCTTGTGAGACACAACTTTGTAGTATTAACAGCATTGTGAAAACACTATTAACAAACATTCAGTGCAGTAGTCGCCATAGCAATTAGACGTTCATTTTCACACAGCGATCAAAAACATCTGAAACGGCCAATTCAAACACTGTCCTTGGGGCCCCCGAGCTGTGTTTGCCAACAGAGGAATGCACAAACACTCCTTCCAAACGACCATCTCACAAAGTCCATTGCCCTGGGGCGATACTTCTCTCGAAAGGACACCTTCATTTGTATCACGGCGCAGCCTTTAAACGCATTTTCCCCATCCTGAAACAAGAAAAACAGGCAGCCGGTCCAGAGAACAGTGTGTGCCGACACTCAAAAGCTCCAGGAAATATTTAGTCTTGATTGATTCTGCTCCCCGTCAGGCAAAGAGTCAGAGGGGGCTATCAAGACAACCCTTTGCTACATCGACCAAAACATTCACCACCATGATGATAATCACTCAGCAAACAACCTGCAACTAAACAATGAGTGTGTATACAGCGCTGCGGTCCAGGCCATTACATCCTGCTGCCAATGGGAGTGTTTATTGGTCGGGAGTTTCCTGGTCTTCCAGAGAGGAAAGACTTCTAAGAGAAAAATACCAGTAATAAACAGGTTCTCATAAGGTCATTAATGTGATGTAAGGATGTTAATGGTTCTTGTATGTAGGGCAGGTTGATCACACAATGGTCATATTGTGATATAGATTATAGGCATATTGTTCAGCCCTACTTGGATGTAGTTGCACACACTCATAAATCAGTCCCCTACACATGCCAGATCAATGAATGATTCCCTGAGGAATCAACAAAGCGATCCCTATTCAAAAAGGATGGATCCGTACAAATGTAGTTCTACCTAGGTCAGGGCCCCAACCCTCAACAAAATCTTGTGGTAATCATTTAGTTTTTTTACTTAATCCTGCTAACTGACAAGCATGACATTACCTCCTTGGCAGAGGTGACAATAATAAATGCCCTATGTGTCTCAAACGTACATAATAGACTGGAAAAATTAAAGCAGGCCCTGTCAATGTGACACTGAGGTAGTACCATCATAACAGAACTCCTTTAGCTTACGACCCCACGACCACAGAGCTGAAACGTATCATTTTCAATTTGTAGACAAAGTGCCCACACAAATTTAGAGCCAATGCCCACGACTGGGAATGAGATCAGTGAGAGGCAGCAACTGAAACAAAGCCATAACCCCCCCTCTCACAGTGGAGCGATAAGACAAGAGCACTGGAGCAATTGAAGGGCTCATAAAATGTGTATTGCAGACTGTCTCCAGTGCAGTCTGGGGTTAGCGTGGAGAGAGGAGCCACAAGCACTGCAGATTTATGTGTGAGAGTGTGTGTGCATCTGTGCAGACAGTAGTGTCTCGTCTCCCTTCTCTCTGTCTCCACTGGTCTTCATGCACATTTGAACACCAGAACGGGAGGAATCGATAAGTCTGTGCAGAGCCACCAGAAGAAGAGGAGGAGAGGAGAGCAAGCTCCAAAACAGCAAACAAGCGAAACAAGACTAAAAATCTGGCAGACGCACAGGCAGTTTTTTATCTCGTTCTCCTTTCTCCCTCTTAACTTCCCATGTCCTGCTGAGACTGCAGTGCCCGCCAGTCCCAGACAGCGCCTCTCATCGTGATATGTTTGGGCTACATAAGGCTGGTTATTATTAAAAAGGATTTTTTTTGCTTTTGGACTAAAAATAACACTAGTAAACAGAGCGTCCCTTTCTAGAGATCTGGACACGAGTAGAGAGATAGAAGCAAATTCAACCCACATGCAGTGTTCCTCTGCAGCCTGCTGCCTCATCTGATGCCTGTGTGTTGCTGGTAAAACTTTCTAGTAAGTTAGCACACACATATACATACATACACACACAAATAAACACACACATGGCCAAAAGCTGAGGCAAGACAGCTGAGGGTTGGGTTGCTGCTAGACTTCAAGCCAAATCCTGCTCTCTTTCCATCTTGCCTCCCTCCTCCCTCCCTTTCTCGAGAGCCACCTACGTGGAGGAGCAGCAAGCCTCAGACTCTTGCTCAGACTTGAAGCAGTCTATCTTGGTCTCATAACTGCAGTTCTCTTGTTAATGACAGACTGTGTAACCTGATTCCACACACACATATGCATGCATACACACTCACTCCCTCACACACACACCACCCAACCCCCCAAAACTCTCTCTGCACTGGTTTTCTGCAGTGAGCTCTTCCGTCTCCCTCCACTTACACATTGTTCCAAGCCCCAAACTGCCAGCTGCTTCTTATAGCTAAATTACTGTGCATGGAAAAATGGTTTCTATCGAGGGTTTATCTACCAATACCACCCCCACCCCCCCTCCACTGCCTTGATGGGAAACTTTTTGACTTATAGGATAATGTTGTGTGACAACAGAGCTATTGTATACTTTTATACAGGGATCCCACTATACCTGTTTATACTGGCTTTGTGTGTTTTCACTGAGCCGAAGAAAGCTGGGATATTGAGCTGCAGCGTGGGATTTGTAGATAGCATGTCTGCCTTAGAGATCAGAGATGTTAACCTCATGCATGACTCAGAAGCCACGTACTTGGTATGAGACACATTTCAGGCCTCAAAGTTAAGACAGAAAATTCTAGGTGTGTTTCACAACATCGCCCAACACAATCCCAAATGAGTCCTATTGTTGTGGATACATTGTCAGTCCCATGCAGAGACCCAGATAACCTCCAAACTGTTTGAGGACTAACTTACCACAGATTGGCTCTTGAAACAAAGGCACTGTACCAAATCCAAACAATAACATTGTTGTAGACCAAGAGACAAGGAGGAGGAAGCGGAGGAGAGGGAGGAGGCCAGTCACAATAGCAGACTGAGTCACCACAAAACAGGCTGGTGCCCGTTACCTCAGCTAAAAGGAACAGGATCCCTGAGATCCCCTTGAGTTGAACCATATCTCAGCCCAGACTGACTGACGTCTCTTTATCCGACTCATTATCAGCCAGACTGAGAACGCCAGGCGCCCACAAAGAGGAGGAAGGGACCTCGGACAACAGGTCGGCTCTGGTGTTACATTGTCCAGATCATCAAGCGACGACACAAACACACGGCCACTAACTGCCACTTAATATACTGCCACTAAAAACGGGAGCAAGTAACCTCAGCTGTGACTCTTCTAATGCTGTCACGTCCACGTCTGTTATTTCACAAACCAGAATCTTTCCACCCAACACCTAAGACAAGATATTACCGACAGTCGTCTGTCCCTGTAAGCAACATTTTAATATGGGAGCTACTGCAGCTTCAACTGGTGGGGGTGTTATTAGTGTTCAAATCCACACTGAGTGGCTAATCCATGTTGATTAAACCCCCCTCCATGCCATACACTAGTGCTGCATATCTTTGCCAGTCAGATTGTCATGCATGCATATCCATGGGTGGTCAACAGAACAGGTTGAGGCATGTCACCTTGAATGCTTCACAACATTCAAAAGGAGTTTAATCATGCTGTGTTAAGGTAACACAGACTACAACAAAGAAAACTAGTGCACAACAAACCAGTATAAATGATTATCACAATATAATTTCATCAGAAGCAATATGACAAAGGTCAAATATATATCAATATAAAGCTTCTGCATTGTGCAGGCACAGTGAGGAGGTAAAGCACATAATTGATCGACATCTGATTCGCAAAATCATTGATCGATCAAATTTTATGCCCATAACCCTTAACTAGAGGCAGGAGAAATTACAAAAAAAACTTTAATGGGGAAGTGGACAGGACAACAAGAAGTGCAATTGAAATTCACAGCATTCATGAGAAAAGAGAGAGTCTCACGTAAATGGAGAGATCATATCATTCTTTGGAGCCTTTTTACAAAAGAGAGCACCTCAAAAGAGATTAGAGAGCAGCAATGACAACTGCAATGATAGCAGTCTGCTCAGCAATAGTAGAAGAGTAAAATGTTTAGCAATGCAAAACCTTCACTCAGCAGCAAAAAACAGTCTTTTAACTTAAAAAGAAATAATTGCTCATGATCATTTTCCTCAAATGCACAATCAATTGCTCCCCCAGCCACCATCACCACATCAAACCTGATTAGTATGTGGGGATGTGATTTTATGGGAGCAGGGATGTGGAGCACAACAAGGAGTTGATTCTGGGCAGGGGGCGGTTCGGTGTGAGACATCCCCCCCCCCCCAACCCCATTCACACGTCTTTTAATCGGCTCAATTATCTCTGGATGTTTGCAGCGAGCTCTGACACCTCAGTAATGAAGTTTGCACCCTCTCACCACCACTTCCTGTTCGCCCTGATTGTCCCCCAGCGAGGAAAACACATCTCCAACCTCTGGCACAAACATGGATATTGAAGTGGTTCAAAAAAAAAAATCGAATGACACCACACACAAGTGTAACACCTACATACAGGCCCCCCCCCGCTGCAGGGACGATTGTGATGTTAAAAGTGCTCAGCGTGAGATGATGAGACACGCACCATCAAGCAGGAGCGACCCTCCCAAAGACTGTTAGCATGACAATGTGCCCCCAACTCAGTCGCAAGTAGCCGCGGCTAACCCCCCCCCAGGACTTGATTTGATTGTGAGATTGGAAATTGCAACGCCAGAAAGTCGCAGGCTCTTATTTTTGCGAGCGTCGCCATTAATCAACACCAATAAACCCGATCGTTTCAAAATAAAAGCTGCTCCTTTCTCACGCTAAAGCAAAAATAAAAACGTAGGGTTTAATAAAATGTGTTTAGGTGGCGATTTTAAAGCAGACTGGGTTTTAAGAGGGGGGGGGGCACAGGACATGATTTCTTATGAGCGACGTCACGAAGCTTTTTTTTCCATCGAATCAGCAAACTTCTCCACGTCGTTCCAAAACACAGCAAATGACAGTCTGGCTTCGATTTAACATTTTCTAAATATGAAATAATCCAACTTACCTCGTGTGTTGTTGTTCGAAGTGCTTTAAACGGAGGCTCGGTCACTGACACGGGTCCAACTACTCTGCCATCTCCCGAGAATTCACCGACAATACGCGGTTTGTTTCCCCAAGTCTGAGCAGCGGAGGAGCCGACGTGACGCCAGCATTGTGGTCGGTGGGTCGCTCGGGGGAAACAGGGGGGGGGGGTGTCCGGTTCACTCGGTGTTCGTGTCGAGGACGCAGGACAGACGGAGACGCATGTTAAGCTTCTTCACACATTATCGGCTCCGTCCGGACTTCACGCAACTCAGCGGAGGAGAAGAGGCAGCAGCTCCCGAGCAGGAAGTTGGAGAGCCCCGGTCACACAGCCAGGAGCTTCCGGTCTGACCTTTCAAAATGAAGCAAAGCTCTGCACTCCAGGCTGGAACAAATGAGTATTTTAGGCTACTTTAAAAAAAAAGAAATGATGTAGTATTTATATACTACTCTGCAATGACTTAACAGCTGAGATCAGAAATGTTACTCAACAGTGCAATAATCCAACCACTGTGAAATACATTTATTTTCATTTTTTTGGGTTTAGCTCGTATTCAGGCCTTTGTGAATATTTTTTGTCTGCTGCATCTATTTTTGTTCTGTTAAGTGTATTTTTATGTTGACTTCAAGTTACTGCAAACCTTCCTTTTTCTTAAAAATCTTTCATCTTTATCTCATTTATCTTTTCATCTTTATCTCATTTATCTTTTCATCTTTATTTCATCTTTAATATTGAGTCAAAAGTCAACTTTATCATACATTTTGCCCAATTATACACAACATGGATTGAAATGCAGTTCCTCTCTGTGTAAATATGTAAGTAGGTAAAACATACAAATATGCAACATATAAAGTACTCAAAGCAACAAGCAAGTACTCAACTGACATAGAAACACAACATAGTGAGTAATTTTAAGGCACAGTGTGGATAGGATGTGAGTAGTGCAGAAATGGATTGAGAAGTAAAAAATACTTCATGAACAGTAATACATTATTTTTTATTTTCTAATTTTAATTACATTTTATTGTTGTTTCATCATCATGTGTACCACTTGATAACTCTATTATTATTATTAGTAGTAGTACTACTACTAGTATTAGTAGTAATAGCAGTAGTATGCATCAAAATTACTTATTCAGTTTACAAAAGCATAAAATTCTTGTATTTTAGATGCTGATTAGTCTCATAATGTTGCAGCTACTGAAAAGGTAATAGTATTACATATTATATGATTGGATTTAGATTACTTTAGGTATTCAGTAACATTTCAATGTAGGACTTATCTTTACATTGCATTTCTCCTACTTTTATTGAGTATAGAATCTGTATATTCTTACACTTCATTTAAATAACATCGACTTGAATATCAATTCATATTGAGAATTGAGATGTTGACCTATAATTGAGTTCCTCTCACACTCATGCATTGTGACCATAGACTTACAAAATATTTGACTGCGCTGCACTGTGCTTTTATTGTGAAGCAGAAGTGTGGTCTTCCTGTCACAGAGCTGTTCTCTCGGGGTGTTTGACTTGCTCCTCTGCTCCTCTTCTCCTCTGCTCCTCTTCTCCTCCTGCGCATGTCTCGCACTCAGCGTTCAGGGTGAAGAGTTCAGGCTCTGGGCAGATTTCAGACAATAAAATGTTCGGTATGTCTCAGAGCAAGCAGGGCCAGAAAACTGTCTGCTAAATAACTTCTACATGAAATCACAAAAACATATACAACTACCCTGCTCTTAATTCTGCTTTTATTTATGTTTTCACTTAAATCTATCTGTTTATCTGTCTGTTTATCTATCTATCTATCTGACTGTCTGTTTGTCTATCTATCTATCTATCTGACTGTCTGTTTGTCTATCTATCTATCTGACTGTCTGTTTATCTATCTATCTGACTGTCTGTTTGTCTATCTATCTATCTGACTGTCTGTTTATCTATCTATCTATCTGACTGTCTGTTTATCTATCTATCTGTTTATCTATCTATCTATCTGACTGTCTGTCCATCTATCTATCTATCTGTCTGTTCATCTATCTATCTATCTATCTGTCTGTCTGTTTGTCACTCTGTCTGTTTATCCATCTCTCTCCCCCTCTATCTATCTATCTAACTCTCCTTTGCACTCTCTGTCAATCTATCTATCATCTCTCTCTCTCTCTCTATGTATCTCTCACACTCCCTCTTTATCTACCCATCTCTCCCCCCTCTCTCTCCCTCTCTCTCTCTCTCTCTCTCTCTCTATCTATCTATATATCTATCTATCTATCTATCTTTACACACACTTCCTACAGTTCAAGTTGTTACCAAATTTGCAACGAATGTCACACTGCACCTTTGAATGTACATAGTTTTAGTATTGTATTGTTTACATGTATATTTGACTTTTTTATAGTAAGCTCTATCTACCTTGAATTATCGCATTGCTGCGTTGACCTGTTTCTTCTCATCCAACATCCATCCATTCATCCAGCCATCCATCTGCCTGGCTTCCTTCCTACCTACCTAAAGTCTAAATAATTGTATTCTGCTATCACTCACAAACTTTGATTGTAGCTCTTATACCTTTATGGAAGGTCATTGATTGATAATACCAATACATTTTTTGGATGTGCAGTTTACTCAGTATGAGTTAGTAGGTCCAGTTAATTCATTTTAAACATTACTGCCAACACACTAATGGATGTTGGCCTATTGTTGTAGACTACCACAGTGCACACATTGTGATTTATCTGTAATAAAACCACGGAATATCTTTTTTGAATCGCTCTCAAATCACATTTGCATTTAAAGTTTCACTTCACAGGGCTCAGTCACTGCTTCTGCAAAGCCCTTCCAGAGATCCATCTCTTCTGAGTGCATCAATGATTTATGAACCATTACTCAACGATGCCAACACCTTGTAAAACCTTCTCCAGCTCAGACACTGTAAACACAAATCAAGTCAGTGAGTAAATGACTGCAGGTACATTCACTCAGGTATTGTATATACGTGAAACGTTACAATACTTTATGCCTCATTTCACTTTGGAAATATTAGTGGGAAATGTACATTTTACATATTTTTGACAGTTTTATGATGACAGCATATATGAGCTTATAAAATAAGCACTGACTGTTGTACAATTTACAAACAATACATTTGTTCAGATCAGCTCCACTGACCCACTTCTGTTTAATGAATCTTACATAATCGCATCATTACTGTATCATTAATAATATACATAACAGGTGATTCTTCTGGATTAAAAGTACTTTTACCTTTAATACTTAATGCACAGTTTGCTTTGTGTACTTTTACTCAAGTCACATTTTTAGTGCAGGTGTTCCCCTGTTAAGTAGTATATTTACTTAGCACTACTGTTACTTGTACTCTTCCATACAGCACATACGGTCCCATTAAAAGGAATCAGAAAGAAGCATAACTTTTGTTATATAGAAACTGAGCTAATAAAACTGATATCAATCAATCAATCAAATTTTATTTGTATAGCCCATATTCCCGAATCAAATTTGTCTCACAGGACTTCAAAAAACTATTAACAGGGGGAAGAAACATAGAAACCTCAGAGAGAGCTACATGTGAAGGATCCCTCTCCCAGGACGGACAGAAGTGCAATAGAAACTAAATATTTACAACACTGATTAGAAGAAACAGCTTGTAACACAATGGAAAAGTGTGTCTGTGCTTAAAGGTACAGTGTGTAGAATTTTGTGATATCTAGTGTTTAAATTGCATGTTGCAGCTGAACACCCCTGACCTCACCCTCCCCTTCCAAACATGAAGAAGAACCTGTGGTAGCTTCAGTTGTCATAATAACTCAAAAAGTGTTTAGTTTGTCCAGTCTGGACTAATGTAAAAAAACATGGCGGCCTCCGTAGAGAGGGTCCCCTCGATGTAAATATAAAGTATTTAAATATAAAGGGTCTTTTCTGGGGTAAAGAAAACTACAATTCATACAATTTAGATGAAATGAACTAGTGAAAACATCATGAGGATTATTCAACATTAAATATCTGCCAATAGTTCCCTTTCACCTAAATCTTATACACTGGACCTTTAAAGTTTTGTACTTAATAAAATGAGATGGAGATGAAGGGAGCAGAAATGACAAATGAATTGAGGAGTTATTGTCAGTGGTGGAGAATGTGAGTAGGTGTATTGTATGATGTGAAAAAAGGAATGACAAACACTCTAAATGTGCATATATAGTGAGTAAAACTTTCCAGCAAATCCTTTATTCATAAGAAAGCATGCTTTGATCTATGAGTTCCTGGTTATTATGCATATATCATAGTATGTAATAGTATATAGTAGTATATATAAGAGTATATATAATGTATAAGGGGGGGGTGACCTGCTCCTCTCATCTCTGAGCAGCAGCTGTACTCCGGGCTGTAGCCGTCTCCATAGCAACGCGTTCAGAAGTCCCAAACAGAGTCCGCCACAGTTTCCGCTCCGCTGCTAAGATGCTGTCACAGTAAGTTCAACTCGTCTGAATTCTGCCTGAACTCCGCTTTAACTCCTGCTCCTCGGTTCTCACTCACACTTTGTGTTGAACTTGAGCCGTGGGTAACTTCTGTAAAGTCGTGTGGCGTTTGCTAGCTAAATCATGCTAGCGGTGTATCCTCTCAGTGCTGGGCTTTGTCTCCGTCTCCAATAGAACATCACCTGTACTCGTGAGTAATGGTCTCCAAGCGACAGAATCTGGTAAGTACAACTGTTTACACTGACTTCGTTCATCTAGTTATAGTTTGTTTGCTGCTGCTGGAGCTGGTGGTGAGATGCTGCATCACTGTTTTCACAGCATGGGGGGGGGGGGGCAAGGTTCAAACTTGGTGATAAATATAAATTGTGTCTTTCCTTTGTGTGTGTGTGTGTGTGTGTGTGTGTGTGTGTGTGTGTGTGTGTGTGCTACAGGTGTGATCAATGCAGTGAACGCTCACACCTCCCAGATTCCTGGTCTGTCTGCCACCACCAGCCCTCCCCCCGAGGAGAAGGCCCGAGGGCGAAGAGTCGCAGTCCTGGACACTGACTCTGACTATGTCAAGCTCGCCAAACAAGGAGGACATAAGGGTAGAGCCATCCTGTTGTCTTACACCTCCACATGTCGACCTGGTTATTCAATCATTTTTGCCCTACTCTTATTGTTTATCTTTCTTCCATCCTCGTTGAACAGGACTTTTGTGGCACGAGGAAACAGTTGCTTCTACACCCAATGAATACAAACCTCCAAACTGGTTCTGCTCACCGTCAGAGGACAACGGCGAACTAAGGTACTTGTAAAATATGTCTTATTATTTTCATGCACTCTGACTTGTAGTCAGTTTTTGATTTTCATAACTAACTAAATATACTACTATTGTCAGTCAGTGCTGCTACTGATTAGAATCCGACCAAAACGGATTTCTAGGGGCTGGTGCAGATACTGATATCAGGGAGCATTAGAGGCTGTAACCCTCAAACTGGGAGAGTGGCTCCAGCAGAGCCCAGCTAGTCTGACACCTCTGTCCAGAAAAGTGCAGTTCAAGGAGCAGCTGAAATACTGTGCAGAACCCTCAATCTCCCAGAGGACAGGAGCTCGAGAAAGACATGTCTAATGTGTGGGAATTTATTGACATATTGAAAGTTTTCATTTAAGTAAATATAAACGCAGACACTGATAGGTCTGTGAATAACTAAAGCCAATTAACACAGGCCAACTGATTATCTGTCAGGTCCTTTTAATGATAATTGTATTGTTACCACATTACTAAACATTTTCCTCCTTTGCTATTTACTTGCTCCTGTTCCTTAATATTGTTTAAGTCCTTTTAAACAGAATTAACAATATAAATAGTAACAATCAGACTCTATAATGGCTGGTAACTGCTGTCTGCTTTATGATATATTTCAGCCATCATTATGTGAAGGACACATATAATATCCCTGTGTTGTTTTTTTCTAACAGTCTCATTAACAGTGAGGAGAAGAAAAACCCTGGAGCCTTTCAACCACTGGAACCTCCCTTCGGGGGTGACAGTATGTCAGCCTGGGAGAGGAGCGATAGCAGCAGCAGCCGCAAAGAGAAGGTAAACAGAGAAATGCCAAAGTCATTAAGAAAGTAATTCAGCCACGAGTCAGCACAAAAACTGCTTATACTCTCGCTTCTGTTTTATTATGACCCATGTTTTATGGCAAAGTTAAAGGATTGTTAGTGATGATATACTGCTACACACTTGATTTAAGCCAGAAATGAACTCTGGAAAATGTCTGGACCCAATTTTCCAGACATTTTCCAGAGTTTGCCTTTCACATAAGAAAAACGTATACCAGGAAATTCTCAGCATCAGACACAACAGGAAAATATCTGGAAAATTCAGCCTGGGTAGAGCGTACAGGCGGCAAACGTGTACATTCCACTGAGGAAATCATGTGTTTTCCGCATCTTCTACTTGTGGCATCTTTTTTCATCCTAAGATATTTGTATTCTTTTTGTTTTTTTCTTTACACCCACTCACTTATATTCACACTTGCAGACTGTGACTTTGTTTTTTCTTTAATCCTGCAGAACAACAACCCTCACTTCAGCCAGATGGAGAAAATTCAGTCACCCATCCAATATTTAGAGACCAGCAAATTCAGGAAGAGGTGAGTTCATATGGCCCCAAGATGGCGCTGTTGTTCTGTGGTTGTTAACTCAGAACTTTTACAACAATGAGAAACAGCACTGCTCAAAATAGAGATAGACTCATAGACCTGTGATCTTAGTATGTGAAAACACATCAGTTATTTTTAAGTGAAGTACTTAAATAAGCACATGGTTACTGGTGTTTCCAAATGATTTAACATTTATATCAGTGTGAGTCAGTGCTGAATAGCATTATAGCACATGGAAAATATGATTGATCCATCTCTGAGAATCTTCTTAATTCAAAGGGATTTATTTGTAAAGCCACATTTCTCTTTGTTGTGATGACTGAGCAGAAATACCGTTGTCTAGGTCCCACACTCAAAGTGAACAGCACACAGAGCAGTGGACAATCCGGGATGTTCACCTCTGTTTGATTTGGCTAACAGCTGATCTGTGCTGTGTGTCCTTGCACTTTTGGGAAAATGTCACTGACTCATCAACAACAGGAAAAAAGAAACAAATAACCTCAGATGTGATTCAACAGAGACGAGACAGTAAACAGTGTGGTCCCAGAACGTGTCGGGTTGTGAAGCTGTGTTTCAGTAAATACACAAAGGAGGGTTGACTAGAAACATGCTACAGTCACGGTTTTAAGAAAAACAAGTGTCTGAAAACAATGATCTAATGATAATGATATTAATCTCTAATTTAAATTTAACCGTTGGTTTTACTTATTCCAGGGTTTATATATGATGTATTGTAAGGTTCCATGAAATAAAATGTAGTATTATCATTATTACTATTGTCATACTTTTTATTTAATTTAAGGAATATTACATTTTAGTATATTTTAGAGTTGGTGGTACGGGATAAAAACAAGATGAAATACCAGTTGTTGACCTTTTGTCAGGAAACATTTGTAATGAGTAACCAGAGTTTGTGTTGATATACAGAGTCAGAGGGATAGGGTCCATATTTGATGTTTAAACTGTGTAAAACTTTAAGGGCAAAACACATTTGTGTTACACTTGTAACCACCTGGTCTGATGTTCATTAAAACGCTTCACACATTTTTCTGCCTCATCACATTTGTCACTCTCACAGAGTGTTCGACAAGAGGCCGGCTCCGGTCGACATGTCGAAGCTGTTGAGCTTTGGTTACGCAGACGACGACAAACCAACAGTCACCACTGATGTGTCAAGTGAGTAAGCGCAGTGTTTCTGTTAGCGTGAGTTAAAACCTACCTGCTCGCCATAAATCACTTCCTTTTATTGCTTTTTTCATGACGCTATTAAAACCCACCTCTGGTATAATAAAAAGGAAATTAAACTAAGCTGCTGAGCATTGTAATTATTGATTTTATGAGACTCATTCTCTGGATATAGAACATAATGAAATAGTGTTCACAAAATCTGAGGTGTGACGATTTGAGGCTTCGGCCATTAGGAATTTATGATGCATCATTTAAAGAGATGATAAGTGAATTGTGTGATAATGATCAGGTGAATGAATGACTCATATGCTCATGTATGTATTCCCATGTCAACAGTTTAGAAGACTGCCAGTGCGTGGAAAACTAACGTTTGCCATCCTCTCTTCTGACGACGCTCACTTCTTCACCCCGTCATGCTGAGCCACATCAAATATTTGACTTGTCTTAAACTCAAGTGTGAAGGTGCATCAGTGAAAAATGTTAGGACCTTTTATTCTTCTCGAATGTTAGTGCCGTCTAATTATATGCGTTTGTTAAATGAGGAAGGCACCAGATAGGAAGGTCCTGTTGTTTTTGCTGTTTTTAAATCTGTAAAAAAGTCATTTTCAGGAATAAAAGTTTGAGAATTTGAACAAAATTGAAATGTTTCACAATCTTCTTGACTTGCTCTAGGATACAGAAAACAATTGAACATTTTCTGGGACATATAAGAAGTGGAAGATGGCTCTTAAAGCAAATGACACAGTATCTAATTTGATTTTGTTTGCACGACATGTACCCTGAACAAACAGCATCTCTGTCTGTCATGTTTGTGCCTTTTTATTGCAACGCCAATGAGTTGTCTGCCCATGTCAAGAGGTTATCGCAGTGTTCTTTGGGGGAAATCTTCACGTCGAGTTATCCATTACCTTCTGATTGGTTATTGTTGAGACCTTACAACACTGGTGTTTGTTCAAACATAAAGGCGCTTTACGTCACATGGGTTGTTTACATTCCCGGCGATATGATTTTCCCATAGCTTCTCCAGAGCTTGGACCTGTGCCATTCACCTTTTCATCTGATTGATTTTGTTCTGTTTGTTCACGGCCGCTGGATGTTTTTGTATGAGAATGAGGACAGGTGCTACTCCTCCTTTCTGGAACCAATCAGTTGTAAGGTCAGATGTCACTGCTATATCAGCTCTGCAGTCCCACAACTCATAGTCGAACCTCAGTGACGAGCAGCGGTGAGCATTTGGAAGTTTTATCACCAGAACAACTTTGAAGAGATTTCTTGGTTTAAGATCTTCTACAATCATGGCACCGATTTTACTGAACTGTATGGGGAAGGAGCACAATGACTACATCAAGTGAGTATCTGATAGATTTTGTCTTATTTTCTGCTCTCAAAAAACATTTTCCATCAACATATGCCTCATGTCACATATTTTAGATTCACTTAAGCGTGCTGTCCATGTATTAATATCCAGCACCAAATTGTTTTCCAAGACAACATGTCCAGGTGAAGAATCCCTACTTGGACACCATGGAGGAGGATATTCTCTACCACTTCAGCTTGAGCAACAAGACTCACAACCTTCCAGAGATGTTTGGAGACGTTAAGGTTTGTGAAAATAGGTCAGATTGACAAAAATGAATTTGGGGAAACCCGGGAAACTAAATTCTCAAACATCCTCCTTCTCTCTTTCTGTTTGCCACAGTTTGTGTGTGTTGGTGGCAGCGCGAATCGCATGAAAGCATTCGCCCAGTTCATCCACCAGGAGCTGCAGCTGCCAGGAAACCCAGAGGAAATCAGAGATATCTGTGAGGGAACTGATCGTTACTGCATGTACAAAGTGGGACCAGTGCTGTCTATAAGTGTAAGTGCTCCATAACCAGTTTCTACTGTAGAGGACATACTGAAGTGGAAAGTCGTGACAATGTTAAATTACTGCTGTAAGTAATAATTCTTAATGGATTTTTAAACTATTTTCATCCACTGTACGTTTAACAGCATGGAATGGGCGTCCCCTCCATCTCCATCATGCTGCACGAGCTCATCAAACTGCTGCACCATGCCCAGTGTCTAGACGTAGTCCTCTTTCGCCTCGGAACATCTGGCGGAATCGGTAAGAACTCGTGGTTTTTTTTTGTGAGAAGGGGAGGAGGTTGAACTTTGGACAAGACTTATTTCTGCCTCCCTGTCGTCTCCAGGTCTGGCTCCAGGGACCGTGGTGATCACAGAGAAAGCGGTGGACTACTCCTTCCGTGCCCAGTTTGAGCAGGTGGTTCTGGGTAAAGTCATCACCAGGAACACTGAGCTGGACGAGGGGGTGGCCAACGAGCTTCTGCAGTGCTCCTCCGAGCTGCAAAACATTCCTTCAGTGATCGGAAACACCATGTGCACCCACGACTTCTACGAAGGTACAAACAGTATGCAATGCTCATATTTGGCATTCACTTAGCAGCACGGGGAACGATCTCGGCAGGTGACACACATGAGGTATTGACAGCTTACTGTATTGTGTCTCTCCAGGTCAAGGCCGACTTGACGGGGCGCTGTGCTCCTTCTCTCACGCTGAAAAACTGGAGTATCTGAGGAAAGCTTATGAGGCCGGAGTGAGGAACATTGAAATGGAGTCCACTGTATTTGCTGCCATGTGCCGCATCTGTGGTCTCAAAGGTATGGATTTTCTTATAAAACGTAGAACATTGTGTACAGTGGAGCGTACCTAATTTGATTTAAGTAAAAAAAATGATATAATTTGAAGAAAATAGATTTAAGGAATAAGGACATGTCACTTCTTAACTTCTCACTGCTCACACTGAAAGATGTCTTTTTTCTCTCCAGCGGCTGTGGTCTGTGTTACGTTGCTGAACCGCTTTGATGGAGACCAGATCACCTCCCCCCATGATGTGCTGGTGGAGTACCAGCAGAGACCTCAAGTCTTAGTGTCCCACTTCATCAAGAAGCGCCTGGGACTCATTGTCTGAGACGTCTGCCTGTCCCATCCCAGCCCCAGCGTCCCCAGAACATGTATATAGCTTTGACTGAATGTGGATATGTAAATATAAATGTATAAACTGTACTTAACATGTTAATATGTGTATTAGACACTTATTTAATAAACTATTAAGATTTCTGTGATTTCTTTAAAGATCTAAAATAAGCTAAAATTTGAAGTTATGTCTAAATTTAAGAATGTATTGTATCTTCTGATATTTTATAATTTGATGCTCATGTACAGAAAGTTTTTTAAAATAATGGTCTTCTGTACGTTGATATTCATACTTGACTTCCAAGAAATGTCGAAATCAAATATGTATAAAGACGTCTCCAAATTGCTCATGTGAACATTTGAAATAATAATTGGTTTGTAGTCTCCTCATGGTAGCAAGTTTTAGAGTTTTTTTTTCCTGTTATATGCTCATTAGATGAGAAGCACTTACATTCCATAGATTTTCTTGAACGTGTTTTTAAATACTCAGAGTAAAGATTGTGCAATATAAGTTTGTTACAGACAGTGACATAACAGGTGGATACAAATATTGATAAATATGCAGGGAAGTCATTTGAATTTGTTGTTGGATATATATGTTTATTATGACTATGAAGAATTGTGTGATACTGTATTTCTCATTGGGTTCTGTAGAGTATAAAACTAAATAAAAAGAATAAAAGTCAACAATGGTAATTGCACTGTGTCATGTGGTGGACAATACTGTAGCTGCCGGTTTTACTTTGTACAGCTCAACAGTGAATATACTTACACATTCATCTCAGTGACATGTAATATATGTTATCATATAATGCTAAGTTAGATGCAAGTCCTTGGTCAGAATTTGAGTATGGACTGCATGTCTCTGCGAGGTGTTTTTGGGGGCTTTATAACCGACAGAACCTCTCTGGCGTACTGGCTTTGGTGCAGACCCGCCTCCCGGAGTGCCTGCTCAACCCGCACTCTTGGATCAGACACAATCTGGAAAACAGATGTAAAAAACCACCACAGTAAATCAGACATTTCTAGCTGTTTCACACTAGATCACACCCTCAAGGTTACCATTGTTCATTTATAGGGTTCACTACACATTCCATTCTTGAAAACAAGATTAATCACTAACCCCTCACGGTTTGGTAGATGATGCCAGTTTGACAATCATTAGCCATTGCCTGCGTTACATAATCACCACACTCTAACCTGTGACAAAACCAGACACACAGTCTCAACAGTGCACTGACTGACTTGGTGAACTTGAGACCAAGGCTATGTTCACAGGTCTGTGGGATGAGGACAAAGATTGTTTGACCAGCTTGCATAATTTCTCCCACTGCACGGGTCACTGCTCCGCTGCACCCAGGATGAAACGAAACATAAACGACTGGATGTGTTCAAGAGGAGCGGGGGGAGCGGGAGGCCTTGGAGTCTCATGCTTTGCGGAGCATAGATAAGGAGTTAGCGGGCAATCATGCAACTGTGGAAATTTTTGTGGTGAAGTCTCACCTGTGCGTCTGTGTATGTGTTAATACTGTAGAGAGGCCTCTGGAGCTCACACTCCTTTGCATTCAAGAGTCGACTCCTCCAAGCCTCAGTATCTCCCATCATCCTCTCTGGGTCCGCCTCTGCCACCACCCCAACCTGAGATAAACAGGGGAGAAAACGCGTTTAATAAATAGTGATAATATACCGTATGTCTGCCATAAGGTGGCAGTAATGCTTCATCTGAGACTAGGATGAGTCCCAGTCTTCCCTGGTGGGTCATTTCAACTAACAAGAGTGAATTGGAGCGGTAGAAAGAGGAGATAATGATCCACCTGGTTTCTGAGAGCTTCCAGACGATTCTGCTTCTCCTCGTCTTCTCTCTGATGCTCAAGCTCCCGAGCCTCTCTCTCCTCCCGTCGCCGCTGCAACATGTCTACCCTAAACTGCACCCTGGATGGAATGCATAAGGTGTGGACGTCAGACATTAAACAGCCCCTTCGCAACATTTGCTATTGCTCCTGACACTACATGGCTCCGGGGCTGTGCAGGGGTTTTATGGAGCTGCCGGAGAATAGCTTCTTTCCCATCATCTGTTTTTATCGCTCTCCCAGCCTTTCATGATTCTTCATTTTCATTCCTGCCAGAGTTCAGTCTCACAGCCAAAGTCAACACTGTTATATGGTATTAACTGCAGTCTCTGCGGAGAAATACTCAGCAAATCAAACAGGAGATTTTTTATTTCCCAAGAAGAATTTATTCTTCAAGGGTAACTTCACATCAGACTAAATAATAACGTTTCTGGTTGAAAGTTTCAAATGTGTTGCACTTAAGAGGTAGAAAGGACATGACTGCGCAAAGTACACAGCGACACCGGCACTCTATTTATATTTCCTGAGTGTTTCATAATGATGACGGGCACATTTGTTGAGGGGTTTAAATGGAAATTCACTTTCAAATCCATTTTTATGTCATAAATCTGTGATATTCAGTGTAATCCAGGATGTGTTTGAATGCAAGGTGTTGTTGATCAATCAGTTAAAACAAAACAATATTCAGTTAAAACAATATTCCAGCTATTTAGCATTGTACTTCCATTAAGTTAGGTGGCTCATAATAGGCAGATTAGACACGCCCACATCTTTCAAACTTTGCTTGTTGCTGCAAACATGTGGGTGTCCAAACCAAACTGAGACAATGATTACATCAGCTTGTTTGTTTTCTCCAATTAGAAAAAGCCACAACTGCTTTAATCAAAAGTTTCAATCTGGTTTTTGATTACACCACAGTACAAACAGCTCTTCTTAATGACCTTCTGTTAACTGTTGTTTCAGGGAGCTCTGCTGTTTTGGTGCTTTTGGTCCTGACACAGTCAATCATGAAATCCTATTCTCACGTCTGATTGCAGTCATAGAAAACTCAGCCATGAATTGGTTTCAGTTGTACCTCAAAGCTCTGTTTTTGGCCCCATCATCTTCTCACTGTATATACTGCCCTCGGGGTAAATTTTCAAGAAACATATTCCTTTTCAGTGCTAGATGACATTCAAATGTATCACTAACTAACCCTTACCCTAATAATTGGAGCAAGTCACCTACTCATATCGAAATGGTTGAGACCCTAGAAACACTTAAACAGCTAAAGACCAATTTCCTCTCACTAGCTTTCAATCTGATTTAAGTCTGAGACCTTGATTTCATCTTTTATTCTGCAACAGTTTAATTCTGAAATATTAACATTTTGTTTTATTGATTGCTCCTATTTATTGTGTTAGAAATCTTTTATTTTCATATTTTAAGTCTGTGGTCACCCGTAGTTGTTTTAAATGTGCTATATAAATAAGCTTTGACTTGACAACTAGATTGATTTTGACAAGAGTAAAGTAAGGCTGATACTGGATGTACGGATAAAAATGAGAAATATGTTTTTGTGACACACCAGTGAGCCCATAAACAAAAAAAGCAATTGTTAAAAAGTAAATGATTAGTGATGGGAAATAACTTCAACACTCAAGGTCCCATGGTGCAACACTCACCTCTCTTTATCTCTCCTCGCCTGCTCCTCCATGACGCTCCTCAGATTAGCGAGTCTCTCTTGATCCCTGTGCTCCAGCTCCTCCTTCCTCTTCTGCTGCTTTAAATAAAACTGCCTGACCTGAAGGAAAAAAACAACAAACACTTAATGACATGTCCTATTGATTGTGACAGAGCGGTAATCAGATAAGTGTAACTAGAAGGAATGAGATGATATTCCAATGTGTGGCAGACTGTTGTGCTAAATTATATGGAATGCAATGCAACCTAAATGCTGTCATTAATCAGTGTCTCAGGACGCCCATGATCTGCTGGCAGACCCCTGAGGGGAGAGTTAATTAAACAGTCAGACACACACACACACACACACACACACACACACACACACACACA